AGTCTTGGGCGGCTAGGGCTCTTTATTTCAACCTACAATCAAAACGACGTCGTTTTGCCACTTTTCTTCTCAACCCTTCAAGTTTCCAGCCTTTATAAAAACTAGTCCATTGCCTTTTAATTTTATCATTTAGCCCCAATTAAAATTGGGTTATGACAGATAACACTTATGGAACAATAATTGACCAAGATGGAAAAACAAAAGACAATTACAAAGCACGTTGTGACCTCTAGGATATGGGGTTGAGGGCTGATCTACATCCAAAACCAGGATCAAGCAATAACTCTAAGTTGCTGCCCAAAGCTTGTTATCAAATGACTGCAAAGGAGAAGGATGCATTTTTTAAGGTCTTAAAGGACATTAAATTGCCAAATGAATACTCATGTAATATCTCCCGTTGTGTTCAAGTTAAACAACGGAAGATAATAGCACTTAAAAGTTATGATTGCCATATTCTTATGGGAGAACTTTTACCAGTGGCAATTCGAGGATCTTTGCCTAAAAGAGTTGCTTCAATTATTATTGAGTTGTGTCACCTTTTCAAATGCTTGTGTGCAAAGGTTCTCAAAGAATCTAATCTTGATGAGTTAAAGTCTCAATCTTCAATAATTTTGTGTGAAATGGAAAAGATCTTTCCACCTTCATTCTTCACTGTGATGGTGCATCTTATCATGCATTTGGCAGAAGAGGTAAAGCTTGGTGGGCCAGTTGCTTATAGGTGGATGTACCCCATTGAACGGTTAATTTAATTTTTAATATTTTTTATTTTTGTGATAATTTATTCATTAATTTGTAACAAATCTAAAAAATGTTGACTAATTTATGATTTTCTTAATTGTTTCTAGGTTTCTCCTTACACTTAAAAATTATGTTTCTAATAAAGCTCATCCAGAGGGATCAATTGCAGAAGCTTATTTGTCAAATGAGTGTTTAACATTCTGCTCAAGATATTTGGAGGGGGTTGAGACAAGATTTAATAGACCTTTACATAATGATGATGAAGATGATAGGGAGCATTCTAATGAGGTAGAAGAAAACCTAATAACTCCCTTAGGTCGACCATTGGGAAGGGCACAGATACCCATGGCTGTTAATCTAAAGAAACGAAAGAGGGTGCGAAGGATAAAGCTTGATTCTCAGTCCTTGCTTCAAGCCCATCGATACATTCTTTTTAATACTCATGAAGTCACTCCCTTCATAGAGTAAGTAGGATAAATACATCTTCTTCTTCTTTTTTCACTTTTATATGACTAACCTACCTATTTAATGTTTTTAGGCAACATAAGGATTTTTTAAAGAAAAAACATTGCTCACCTCGCCTATCACAATTTGAGATTGAAAGGCATCATTCCTTGACATTTCATGAATGGTTTCGTGATCGGGTAAGTTTAAAAGATAGAAACTAAATGGCATATGATTTTTTGGCTTCACAAACTAATGTGTTAAATTAATATTTGTGTTAATAGGTTACAAGAATGGAACAACAAGGTTATGTTATTTCTGAAAAAATTAAGTGGCTTTCAAAAGGACCAAGTGATGTTGCTTTGACGTATTCTGGATATTTGGTAAAT